CGGGCCGCCGGCGAGAAAGGTGAGGGCCGCCGGCGCCGCTCCTGGGGAGCCCCGGGGCACGCGGGGCCGCCTGGGAGGGGAGGTTTCTTCTGGCCCCAATTGGAATTTGTTTCCAGCTCCTCTTAAATTAGCCTTTCAAACTTTTCCACGTTTTAAGGAATTAAGAGTCCTACTTTGTGAATCTCGGTGTCAAAGAACTATGGTGATGAGGATAGATACCTGATTAATGTATCATAACTAATACCTAATTAATGTATTCATAAATTCTGTGTGACCGCATGCGTGCTCTTAGCCTGCCGCAGTGGCAAAGCAGAATATTCGACCTCCATCCATCTACCTGATGATTTGGGTACTGCCTACAGGATGAGTTAAGCTTCTAAATGTCGTAGTTGAAGCAGAATAGGAATAGACATATGGACAGTTACCATGGATGAGCCGATGTGTAACAACTTGTTCATCTGATGTAAATCTTTTGCAGTCACCTGTCTGTTTCTCAGTAGGGACACAGCTAAAGAGGTACTTTCATCTGTATCTCTTAAAGACACGTTTTTGTGCCTGACCTTGTGTTCCAGGTACACCAACTAACCTGCTGTCGTCACTGACGTTATTTCATTGTGCAGGGAATTCAGGATTACTTTTGCTTGGCCTCCTGATCAAGTATGGCCTTGACTAATTAGGATGCATGGTTAAGACATCTCTCCCCCTCTCCTCCTGCCTTTCATTTATATTTGCTTTGAACAATTTGCTGTTGAATTTGAGGGGAAGACCTACTTTCCCTTCTTCTTGTTCCAGACAACTGCAATCACGGGAAGCCACCTGACAACAAGGGCAGAGTGAGCAGTTTAGTCCACAAGCCTGAGTTCCCTGACGCAGACATGATGGAAGTCCTCATCTGAGCAAAGGATGGTATCTCTGGGGGTTTGTGTGCATACATTTCAGTTCCGAGGAGGTCATCAGTGTGCCAACCTTAAAAACTAATTGGAAGACTTTGAAGAAAGATGGAGAAAGTTTGTGCCTGAAAAGAAGCTTGAGTCTGGTGTGCTGTGACTTTGCACCAGGCGAGAAGGAAAGACAGCTGAAAATGAAAGATGAAATGAATGTCTGGGATTTTCTGAGAAGAAAAGAGCATTGAAAAAGGAATGTGGCTTGGGAAGGTGACTATCAAGGAAAAAAAGAAACTGTTTTCTGGTGTAAAGAGAAGGTAGCTAAGTTTTAGAGTGGGTGCACAGTGCGGTTCTGTTTTAATGTCTAGCTACAACCAAGGGAGAGAAATCCTGAGTCTTTTGAGACCAAATGGAAGTTTATGAGTAACCCAGGATAAGTTTACATCTTCCTTAGAATTGATTCATTTCTCAAAAGTATTCACTGCCTGATTTTAGTGAATAATTGGTCTGTAGATGTACACAGCAAGTTCTTGTAATTATTTGTTTGAAGTGGTGTGGTGTGGTTTTCCTGGGACATGCAGGTCAGGTGTCTCTTTCCTGGCTGGACAAGTGTTACTCTTGGAGCTGGATTTGCAGTGGAAATATTCCTGTCATGCAAACCCAGAGATTGCTAAGACTTCTCTTTTGGTAGGAACAGTTGTTTGCTGGAATTCCCATGGAAGAGGAATGTAAAAGGGGGTGGAGCCTGCTGAAGCAATCCCTTTTGTGATGTTGGGAAGGTTTCAAGATGGAAAGTCGGGAAGGATCCAGTCAGCTCCACTGAACAGATGTGCACACAGAGTGAGTCAAGTGGGAAGCAGCACAAGTGGAACTAGAGCTTTTTGTTCACACGGATGTGCTAGAGGAGGGCAGGAGGGCTCGGCAGCGTCAAGAAGCATGGTGGCCCCATGGGTCTGCAGTGCCTTCACAGGAGCACAAGTCCCCATAGGAGAGCGTCAATGTGTTTTGCGTCTCTCCCCAAACCTCTTCTGACCTCAGTTGTGAATTCAGATGCTATCAGCAGGGGTGCGCGGGTTTCAACAAGTGAGAATCTGAGCATGAAATTGTGCAGAGAATTTAGCCCGAGGCAACTAAAACTGCGGCCAGTCACAGTAGAGAGATGGAAGGAAAGCAGAAATCACTGATGGCTTTTGAAATTACTTCAGTAGTGTTACACTTGGCTTACATGTGAGATCAGAAGATGCCTTACTGTGCACTAGTTCATAACAATGGAAGAGTCAGGGTGTTTGTGGTAAGAATTTGGAATTGTCCTTGTTTTCAGAACCTGCAGCCAAATCCTACCTTCCTTAAGCATACAAACCTCCCATTCAGATTAATGGGGGACTGGGCATTTAGGGGGCGTAGGATCAGGCTGTAAAGGGTTTAACTGCAAAGCAGTGGGTGAGCATCTTGTATTTTCTGTGCTGAGCTGCACTCTCTTTTCACCTTGTTTTCTCCCAAGATGGAACATTTCTCATTTTTGGCTAACTCCCTGATTTCTGTGAGAGGTGGCAGTAACTAAGATGGCCAACTCGCCAGCAGTGTTAATTATAGCATAGTCTTTGCTTCGTGTATTGCAAATGCTGATGGAGAAATTTTCCTCTTTGAGATATTTTTGTATTGTTTTTTCTCTTCCCAAATCTTCTAGTTCACCGTATTGACGCCTAGAATGGCAAAGTGGTGGATGCTCTCGTATCAGAAGTAGCCGTGCGCTCAGGACTGGCTTAAGGTCACACCATCCTGTAGGTATTGAAATGGAGCTCTTGATTGTGAAAACAGCAGGCACTTTAAACTCCACTTTCACTGAAAACTGAAATCTTTGCAGTCTCAAAGCCTGTAGGTGCCAGAACCCAGCCTCGTACTCAAAACTGCGCGGCTAAGAGATACCTTTCCTCTTTTTTTCTTTCTTAAACAAATTTGCTACATCATTAAATCTATGCACTTATTTTTTTGTGTGTACATAGAACTAGGCATACGTCGGTGTCACCCTCTCTGTGATTTTTGCACTTGTTGAAAGAAGCAGTGGTAGGTCAGTTGTTAGTCAAGACAGAATTGTGTGTTTTGAGTATTAGCAGCTTTGCATTGCAAAACCAAAAGTGTAAACCCCTTGAAGATATTATGCAGCTTAATGTAAGCCTTGTAAAATAATTTTATTTTTTCTCTAAAGTTAATTTAAAAGTTCTAAGTGTTTGCATAAAACCCAGGGCCTCCATGTGGCAGTGGCTGGCTGTAGCGTTTAGCATCCTCCTGACCTTGCAGCACTGACCCACCTCAGTTACTCTTCCTCAAAGTGAACAAGCACTGTAGGGTCATCGTCTTTACCGGGAGCACGGCAGGAGGAAGACAAAGCAGGGGAATATAAGTAAAATGAGAATGATAAATATTTCACTTTGTTGGTCTTCTCCAAGAAGTAAGGATACACAGCGGCTTGGAAGTCCCTAAGCATTTTATTACTGGCTGTATTATTTCCTTTAATGAAACTATTTAATAACTTCTGTACAGACAGACAGCGAGGTGTCCCACAAAAACAGTGTTTGATTAGTGTGCATGATGTTGCTTTCAGTCAGTTATCTCTCTTAGTGGTACAGCTTTGCTTCTGGAAGTCAGCTAGAATACAGCACTCCTCCTCTTGCTTGTGTGAACAACAGTCCCTCCAGTATCCAGTATACAAAGTGGGGTTTACAACTGATGCTGCCCCGGGTTTGTGTCCACATGGGAAACTGTTTGTTATGGAGTTACAGTGTAGGCAAATCTCATTCGCTTTTGAGTTCACAGCTGAGATAAACTTACTTAAAGGTTTATTCTCCTTACTTGTGTTGAACTCAAGATGTTTTAATTTTTCTGCCAAGAGAGAAGGACCAGTGAGTCTTACTTCACAAATCAAAGCACTAGCAGAATTTGCGTGGAGTACTACTGCCATAAATCAGTTCACCTCTCTCAGCAAAGCGGTGCACTATTCTTTCCAGCTATTTGAATTTTATTGTGTTTTGTGAAAATGTGTTGTAGCCATTCCAGGTGACATTGGTAGCTAGTTGTAAAATACTGTCATTTTTTATGTTGCTGGCTGTAAAAAAAGGTTGGTGTACAGTGTTGTACAGCTAGAGGGTTATTTGTACATAGATGGGAAAATGAAGAACGTTATGTGTTTACCCACAGCAAATATTGATTTTGTTGTTCAGCCAAAGATTTCTTATTCTTTGCTGTTTAAACTTGTGCCTTAATATGTATATAATAAATGTATAAAAATGTTTCTTTTCTCGCTTTTCCAGTGTGAAATGTATTCAGTCTCTGAGAAGAGAGGATTTTTCAGATCTAAGCTTTGCAGACAAGTTACTAAGACTAGGAAGTAATACTTCAGTGACTTTAAGGTTGCATTTCCTCTGTTTTTCGTAACTTTTACTGAAAGGCCCTGCAGTAGTTGCTATCAATAAGTATATGTGAGCACAAAACTGATAGGTCTGCAAAGCGGAGGATTAAACCAAGAGCTTTGCCCAGCAAGAAGAACGAGGTTTCAGTGAAATCATCTTTAGCTGAAAGGAATTAGGGCAGAAAGTCAACAAGGCACTGTGGTGAACATCTAAAGATATTTTAGCACTGCATTCCCATTAAGCATAGCACTGCCATTGATTAAATTTAGATTCTGGAGGGTCTGGAATGTCTTTACTTGACAGATGTTGAATCAATATGAGCTAGATACCTAAATACTCTCATGAATCTAGGTGCACCAGTATTACCATAACATCCTCTGTAAGGAATGAAGATCATATCCCAATTTGGAGCAGTTGTACGGAATGCTTAGACCCTTTAGAAACATTGCATATACATTCGCTTATGTATCTGAAAGAATTTCGGGGAAGAGAGTCAGGAGGAAAAAAGCAAAAGTTGCCCAAGCGTCTGGCTTTTAGTAAGTGAGATTCAATCAGCAGACTTTCACGTGCTCTTGAAAGAGTCCATTAGAAAATTCCTGAATCATGTCCTGCAGAGCTGCAGGTATGTAAGGCATGAAAATCATTAAGGGCTTTTCTCTGCTATGGGCTGTCCTGCACCTTTTCCAACCTCCCCTCTTCTCCAAAAGCTCACATGCACCAATAAAAGCAACCTCCCCTGGGAACAAGCCTGTCAGCAAAGACTCAGGGGCTTTGTAGATAGTGGATATTTATATCCTTCATACACATCACGGCAACTTCAGGTTCCCTATAGTCAGCACAGGTTCGTTTGACCCATCTGAATGCTCCCTCTTCAAGATAGGGCAACTAAGGATTTTTAGCGCCCCGGTCTTCACCCCCAAGAACAAAAGTTTGGTGACTGGTTAGCATAGGGCTTTTCAGCTTTTCTCAAGTCAAGATTTGACAGTAAGATTTGGAGCTTACCTTGGTGCTCAAGGTCATGGGAGAAATGAAATCAACAAAGGCAAAACCAATATTAGGGTGGGAAAAGCCATGTCACCAGGTGTGTTCAGGAATAGCATGGGGGAGGGTTCTACCATTTTTGGACTGTGCCTTCATTACAGATGTTCCGGCCAAGTAAGGAGGACATCACTGTAACATTGTCTCCAGGTTAAGTACATTTTGCATATGAGCCACTGAAAATAGTAGTGCAAAGAAGCAAACTTCCAGAGACAATTTGTTTAAATTGTAAAATGTCCGATTACTGTATATTCCCAAAAGTAAGTGTTAGACCATATTCTCCTTATTTATCACGTACAGGGAGAGAGCTCAGAAGAGCTAAAATGTTAGTAAAATTGCCAGTTAGAAGGAATCCAAAATCATGAGTCAAATCCCATGCAAAATTATGAGACCTGTTTAGTTCGGATTCAATGATTAATTCGGATTCAATGCGTTGTACAGCTGTGGTATTTCTTCTGTTCTGATTTGTTACTATTTCCATATATTCAGGGATTTTTCCTCTCTACACTGTAACGGAACAAATGTACAAACATTTGTAAGGTACACTCTTGAGGAAAAGCTGTGATTTCTCACATCATTAAATAACTCTAGGAGCTGGATTTTAAGAAACACATCAACTGTTGAAGCTTGCGATAACACAGCCAGCGCTGTCAACACTGCAGTGAAAAATGAGCAAAGTATAAACATCCTTTGTTGGGAGGAAGGTTGCTGCCAGGTGGCCGATCACAATCTGGATCCCAGTGCTGGAGTTTGGATGCAACCCGATGTCTGAAACTGGGTTGGAGCTGAGCCTCCTGCCATGGGCCCCGTTGCATCCCTGACCTGGGCAGCGTCTCTGCAGGGAGATCTCTGGAGAGGTGGGGCTGTCCAGAGATGCCTTGGCTCCCCTGGCTCGGTGGCCATCAGCTGCGTTTGAGGGGGACACTCTTCACGGGGCGTTTCATCCATGTTGGCATCCGGTGGTGGACATCTCCACAAGAGCACCCCACGCACCTTCCCAGCTAGAGGAGTTTCATCCAGGCCCCGGGATTTGTGGTGGAGATCCTGAGTTCCTGCCGCCAAGCAAAAAAAAGTACCTTCTGTGAGCAGACCAGGCTGAATTGCCCTGGGAAGTGCTTTGCACCGATGACACACTGCTGGTGGCGGCGTATGGCCCGGTCCTAACTCTGGAGCCTCTGCAGGCTGAACGCCCACCCTACCCAGGTGCTTTGGTCTCCTGCAGCATTGCCCTCAGCCAGGCTTTGCTACCCCGGGGCTAGTTAGTTGCTTGCCCACAAAATACCCAGCAGCACTGTGGCTCTCCATGAAGCTGGGGCAGGAGAGCCGTCCTCAATTTGCAGCATCTGGCTATGTCTTTCCTGGGCTGCCCTTACCAGAGTAGGAGCCTGATAAGTGCAGTGACATGAGTTCAGGAGTGGTGACTGGAAGGATATATGAATTGGATGTGGACCCTAACCTCCATCTTCTTACAGGTCTATAGCTCTTTTCATTACAAAATATAGTAATTTGGGGAACTGTCATCCTTACCCACACGGTTAAAGAGTACCACTGGTATCACAGTCCAGGGGAAGGCAACGTCAAGGGCCATGCCCAAGGTGAGGGTGGAGCACATCCCTGTGCAGTTCCACAGCTGGGTATTGGGCACGGACTGCCCTGTTGAGTCACTTGCTGCACCAGTACCAAAATTAGCTCCGTGGTCGCGTAAGTGTGAAGGTATCATCAAACCCCACAGACCAAAACAGAGCAGGATGTTTCTCAAACAAGCTGGGAAAACAGGTCACAATGAGCAGGAGCATGATCCCCTTCTGAAAGCTCGGTGAAATAAGAGCAGCTGTCATCATCCCCACTGTGATTAATGGTTAGCTGGACCTTAAGCCAGGGCTTCACAGGCTTGTAAAACTAACTTAGAGCACCAAACATTTCTGAGCTATAAAAGGACCAGGAATTCATTGACTCTAGGTATGAAAGACCACAGGGTATTTTCTTTCATACCGACCACTTCAGCTTTAGATGAATAAAATATCAGTGTGCATATTTTCCAGAGTAACCCTGCATGGCCCTGCCGCAGCATGAAGTTCAGCCCTTCGCCAATGCACCGTGCAAGCTCCCCTTTGATGTAAACCAGGGCAGTGCCAAGGAAGTCTCTGGTGGTGTGGAGGCAGCGAGATGAAAGCAAGGCCTCGGGTTTGTATGAGTGCTGCTCCTGGCTTTGCTGGGAGCTGAGGACCCTCAGCGCCCACCAGAACCG